CACTCTCTCTCTCTCAAATAAATAAATAAAATCTTTAAAAAAAAAAAAAAAATCCAAGAGATCTAAGCAGAGGTAAAATTAGGCACAAAGGCCCTGAGGTGGGAATGAGCAAACAGTTCAAAGCAGTGGGTTCAAGCCCCCTGATCCTGGAGGGGAATAGAGGACTTCTTGCCAAAACTCTAGCCTGGGCTTCTGGGGCAAAGGTGGACATGGTGAGTATAAGACTCCTCCACTGCCCACTCTAGACACTGCAATGAGGTGGCACACACTACCACTGGATCCTAGATACTTGACCCTATAATATCAGGGTAGAAGCTGGCCAGAGAGCCATGGAAGAAAGCTGTGAGCCCAGAGTGCCTGCCACCTGACACGGATTCCATGTTATGCTGCCTCAGGCCACTGGAGTGGATGTAGTCATGACTTTTTATAGAGCCTTTTCTAGTTTTACTGAAAAAAATTTTCCATTGCCTTTGGAAAAAAATCCGTAAACACCTTAGATACTAAAAATTAAGAAAGAAAACACGGGAAAAGTTTACACATACTTCATACAGATTAAAGCCCTAAAACTCTTGTTACTTTTCATTTCTTATTTTATTCCTTTGCTATTAGCTTTCTGCTACTTCAAAGTCCCATCATTTAATATGAAACTGAAGCTCTCCACCAAATATATGTATATGATAGCCCAAAATTAAGATGCAACTGCCAGATCAGAAAACTATTACTGTTAATATGAAAAGGTTTATTAGTCAAGTATATTAACATAAAACATCACCAAAATGGTGACACAAATGTTTTGCTGTAAAATTCTATTTGGAAAAAACACCAGTTCCTAAATAACAAGTCACTAATTCAGTATGAAGTATTTTCATACATCTTTGTAGACATAAATCATTAGATTATTACAAATATTGTTAGCAAAAGCACATACAGACCTGTTAATAAAGCAATTTATCCCATGCTTAAGAATACGTTCAACTTTCTCCTTCATTTTTTCCTTTTCGGCATGTTCTATTTCGGCAACCTTTGCTGTAGAATCAACTCTTACCCTGGAACCAAATATCTAAGACAAAGGAAAGCATAAAAATAGTATCACTTTCATTACTCCTGAGTCGCACAGCTTAATTTTTATGTAAATACACTAAAATTACATATGTGAATACATTCATATGTATTCTAGGTTTTTTTAGCGGAAGTGACTCCCAGCCTGAATTTATAAAGCAGCTAACAATTAGAATTCTAAGAAATGTAGTTAACATACCTTTATTTTGTCTGTATCCATACCAGTATTTGCAATGAGAATTTTAGCATTTTCAATTCTCTTCGGTTGATTTACTCCAATTTTTTTATCCAACAGAAAGCCTACAACACATTGAGTATTTTAGTAAGTACTTCAAAGCTATATTGATAAATCTTTATGTCTGCTTTATCAAATTACTTTTTCAAACAACATGCATTTAAGTCCAACTCACCAAGCTCCTAGAACCTGTAAAGCATTCCACTAAAGCAAGTGATCATAAAATCAATTTAGCAGGTGGAAATCTAAAGACACAGCACAAACCTTAAGAATAAACACAGTATTTTGAAACTTCTGTTTCACATATATACAAAATATGCAGGTGTGGATTGTAATATAAAGCTAGTAAGTCCACTTTCATTAGCTTAAAACCAATGCAACAGAAAAACTATGAAGATTCGGGAAAACGAGGTATTGCTAGAGATTACTGAACTTTTTAAAGAACTGAGGCTGGTGATAAAATGAAGAACAAAAAAACAAAAAACCATGTACAATGGAGTCAAACAAACCTAACCCCAACCATGCTCATGCTGCTTACAGGCTATGTGTACAACCTTGGACAAATTAACCTTAGCTATTCTTCTGTAAAACAAGAGTTTACCACAGTGCTAGTTTCTAGCCTATGGGCCTGTAATTTGGAACTCTCTCTCCAGGCTTCTTTTAGATGCGTGCGTAACTTTTCCTTTTTAAGACATTATCATCTTGGGTTTTCTGCTCCATTCAGATGAACCTAATTCTCAATCACTAGTTCAACATCATGAGGAATAAATGAGATTTTAAGTAAAATTCCTATTAGGATGCTTGCACAGAACATTCAAGAATGGTAGCTATCCTTGTTTTCATTATCTTTCCCTACCACTAGGCCCTATTAGAAATGCTACACAGCCCTTGCATACAAAATCAACAAAGAATATTTTTAGAATTGTTACTCCTTTGAAATAGAAACAAATGGGGCGCCTGTGTGGCTCAGTCGGTTAAGCGTCTGCCTCTGGCTCAGGTCATGATCCCAGGGTCCTGGGATGGAGCCCTGCATTGGGCTCCCTGCTCAGCAGGGAGTCTGCTTCTCCTTCTCCCTCTGCCCCTCCCTCCTGCTTGTGCTCTCTCTTCTCTCTCTTTTCTCTCAAATAAATAAAATCCTTAAAAAAGAAATAAATAGAGAGAAATGACATACAGCAAAACCTGGAGTACGAATCAATGGTAAAACACAACTTGTTCCTGTTTCTCCTCTGTAAGAGAACGTTTACATATTCCACTCCATAAGCCATTTTGTAAATACAATATAAAGATGTCCTGAAAAATTCATACTCTAAGAACAAAATACATTATTACTAAGGAAAGAGCAGTTGCTAAGATTTATTTACTACTTTTTAAGAACACCAAGAACTATAACCTTAATACCCACCAATTAAATGATACACAAACTCTTCCTGGAAAAAAAGGCATTTGAGAATAGCTGACTTTTACTAAAACTACAATTTCTCTTTATTAGAGACTGCAAGAACTTCAAGGTATAGAGTAAAACCTAGAGATTATCAAAGAAATTCTGGGACGGTGTGAAATGAAGCACACAGTAAGTATAATAAATGGATCAAAAAACCAAAAATGGTTGCAATGATTTCTATTCTTAAATACAAATTTTCTGGCTTTGTAAAGTGTTACCAGTCCTGACTAGATAAAATGAGGATTCACTATGTAGCCCTCAACGTCTGATCAAAGCTTGTTTTCCCACATTCAACATACTCATACCTTCGTCTAAATAGGAATCTGCCAGACTTCCTCCTAGCTTCTTGATGACGTGAATTGCCTCCAGATTACCAGAGCCTTTCAGTCTGAGAACAGCTTCTACAGCTAACTGAGTAAAATGGTCTTTGTGATGAGTAAGAAGTTTTGAGGATAATGTTGTTCCCGCAATGTTCATTAAATCTTCACGGAATTTAACTTCGTCAGAACTAATAAAAAAAAAAAAAAAGACTCACGCCTGTTTTTAAAATGCTTCTTCAAAGCTATGAATCCTATTTTTCTTTTCAAAATTTATCCAAATACTTGTCAACAGATAATTTCACCCCAGTCAGGGCTCTAAGCCATAGCAGAAGTAAGTTCACAGTAACCAAGAAATGCAAAATTAAAGGATACTATTTTCCCCACCATCTGGCAAAATACCAAAAGAAACACAAGCAAACTAAATACCAAATGCTTCAAGAACATGGATAAATAGGTATTGCTATACAGATATTAAGAGTGAAAATTAATAGGGACGCCTGGGTGGCTCAGTCGTTAAGCGTCTGCCTTCGGCTCAGGTCATGATCCCAGGGTCCTGGGATCGAGCCCCGCGTCGGGCTCCCTGCTCAGCAGGAAGCCTGCTTCTCCCCCTCCCGCTCCCCCTGCTTGTGTTCCCTCTCTCGCTGTGTCTCTCTCTGTCAAATAAATAAATAAAAAATCTTTAAAAAAAAAAAAAAAGAGTGAAAATTAATAAACGTTTTCTAGAGGATTACTTGTAAATAAAAATGCCTTAAAATACACATATACATCTGGACCCAGCAATTATCCCTCTTCAAGCACTTTTTTTGGGTTTGTCACAACTACTATTAGAAATCTCAAACTTACCAAAACAGATCTCCAGCTATAGATAGATAAATTACACTACTAATAAATTATTGCAGAAAATTGATTATTGCCGAAAATTACACTAACAATATTACACTATTGCAGAAAATATAGACACCCAAAATTTGCTTTTTAATCAACTAAGTTAGAATGATTACGCAATGATTCTATTTGTTTTTTCTTGATTTTTACATGCAAAAAACTGGAAACCCAAACTGTATCTCGAGTGTAATGTGGGGGTCTGTTTTGTTATCGGGGCAGGATGAGGCAATAGGGTCATGTTTGTGTATACTCTTCACTGTTTTCCAGACTTCCTGCATTGAGCCTATTTTGAAAAGAATGTTAAATGTTTCAAACAGTATTATTTTGGTATACCAACCCATGATCAACTGCAGAATTCAACAGAGCCTGTCTTGCCGCCTTTGTGGCTTCTCTCCAACCCGCAATGATGGTCTGTGGGTGAATCTTTTTTGCAATCAAAGATTCGGCTTCCTATTAATAAATAATGGAAAACACTCTTCAATAGAAAACACACAGAAAGGACCTGACTACTTCTGATACAAGAGCAAAAAAAAAAAACCAATAAAATGAGGTTAAAGTTGCTCAGATACTCTCACCCTTAGTAATTCTGCTGCTAAGACAGTAACAGAGGTAGTGCCATCACCAACTTCATCATCTTGAACCCGTGACATATCTAGAAATAAGAAGCTAGTTAGTAACTCATTTGTATTCGATATAAATGCATCCTAAATTACTTCTCTGTAGCTTACGTAACTCTCCCAACATACCCACAACCAACCTGAATCTCACTTATCTAGGTCTCCCCACCTGACAAACTCTTTGGAACTTCTCAGTCTGAAACGTTTTATTATTAATAACTACATGGCACTCCAGAAGCTTATATTTTAATAATGATAATAATTAAAAAGGGGACATCAATTAATTGAAAGTAGTTAGTCAACAAAGCCTATTTAAAAATGTGTTTCAAACTATTAATGAAACCTTATCATTTTCAGACTCACCAACTAAAACTTTAGCTGCTGGATTGTCCACACCGATGTTTTTTAGAATAGTTGCACCATCATTGGTTACCATAAGAGAGGCATCTCGTCCACTGCTTAACAGAATTTTATCCTAAAAGGAACATACTTGATTCAAGTTAAGATATAAATACATCTGAAGAATGCATGGGTCAATCTGTACTCTCATTTACTGCTAATGTGTAAATACTCTGGATGGCAATTTGGTAGTATCCATTCAGATTTTTTTTTTTTTTTTTAAATGCATACACTCCATAAGCAAACCTTGGTGTCTGCCCCTAAAAACACTGGAACAGGGAGACATTAACAAGGTTGTTACAGCACTGTAATAGCGAAAACAATGAATAAATATAAAATATAAAGATCTACACCGAAAGGGATTTTAAAAAGCAACCTACAGAAAAAGTACACACAAATACCTATGATAAAAAAATATATATATAACACATAATACATAATATGCACATAAATCTACATAAAAACAAGTATCAGGAAAACTTACATCCAAATAGAACTATGGTTGTCACAGAGGACTTCAGCTGTGGGAGTACTGTTTTGATTTTTAGGAAGAAGAACATATCCATGTCTTACATATACAAGAGTTAACTTTCAAAGTTTAAAAAGCATCCCTAAAAAAGTGAGCTATTAACTAGATTTCCAAATATGGCTCTAAAGCAGAATCAAAACATAACGATTCCTTGTTTTTCTTACCATGCCCTTAGGTCCTAATGTGCTCTTTACCAAGTCTCCAATAGCGATGGCACCAATAAAAGAAGACTGGAGTAAAAAATCAAAGATTGAAAGTAAAAATCAATTTTACAGTCTTAAAATTCCCAAAGTACAACTGTATCTTTAAAAGTATGGGAGAACAAGGCTCACCAGCCGAGCAGTCTCTGCTCTCTCTTCATCAGCTCCAGCCCTGAAGATGTTAACAGGTGCGAGGGAAAGGGACGCCTAAAAGGGAAAATCAACAATCAGTATGAATACCAATATTAACACGTATACATAGATGCGTTCCGCCAGAAATACATGTATATATTTAGGAGAAAATTAATTTACAGCATAGAGTACTTTTTCAAACAAACGACGATCTCCGTCATTGGGGCGGTCACTTACTTAGGGGGAGTGAGGGACTTGTACAACCTGTATAAGCAAGGAGTTTGCCTTTGGGGTCTACAAGTGCTCTACGAGTAAAAATTATACACCAAAAATGACTACTAAATATGGCAAGACTTAAGATGACTTTAAGGATAAAGCAGGCAGGGGTTGCAGGCCACTCGTGGAGGCCACTCGCGCAACAACCGCCAGGCGGACGAGGCAACGCGGCCGATTCGCCTCCATCTTCACCCTCCAGCCCTTCCAGCCCGGCTGCTCCAGGCTCCGCCCCGAGAGGGAGGGCGGGGCCTGTAGCGCCAACCCGCTGGGGCACTAGAAATTTCTTCGCTCGGGTTGATCCCCGGGCCTCGGGTTCCGCGACTATGGAGAGGCCGAGTCAGCAAAAAACGCTGGCATGGAGGCCCACACCTCCCCGTTAGGTATGGAGGGCTTCGCCGGCGGGCCCGGCGCAAGCCACACGCCGAGGCCCGCGCCACGTGCGGCGGTCTCCGGGGACAGACATGAGGAGCCCCCGGCCACGGAAGGGCAGAAGAGGCAGCGGGCGGGGGGCGCGGCGGGGCGCGGCGGGACGCGGCAGGGTTTGGGCAGGGCCAGTGGGGCCAAGCTCACCATGGTTCCGAGGAGTTCGGCACACACGCTAATCCCTCAGCTCACGCCCGGTACCAGAGGAAAGAGAAGCCGGAAATGACGGCACACGCTCTCCTGCAGGGGGCGGAGCCCCGGCGGGCTCGCAGCTCCGGCCTGGCACCGCCCTCTGGGGAAGGGAGGGTGTGCCGGTTTTGAGTGAAGGACCGCGGTCAGAAAAGCAGCGAGTCACACTGGGGGCGGGGCTTTGACTCGCGCTCCGCCCCCTGCGGCACCACCCGCTCGGGACCGGGGAGGGGAGGATCTGACGTATTGGGTGGAGCCGGGCAGACTGGGAGTAGAACCCCCGAAGAACAAAAGGGACGCCGCCACGTGGGGTTGCCATAGCAACGGAGTTCCTGCTTCCGTGTTCAATTTTCCTAAAATTTCCTTAAGTTTAATCTTTAAAAAAATTTGCCCTAAAGTATACTAATAAACGAAACGATTCACCAACCTCACCACTTCTTTCCCCAGAAGCAAGCACATTCAGCTTTTTCAGTTTGTGGAGCTTTTGGGGATATCATTATCTTACTAAATATTTTTATTGCTATTTTAATTTTAAACGTTATTTATTGAGTTACGAGGAACACTTACATTCCTTTCATTGAATTTTATTTTTTTTAAAGATTTTATTTATTAATTTGACAGAGACACAACGAGGGAGGGAACACAAGCAGGGAGAGTGGGAGAGGGAAAAGCAGGCTCCCCGCCCGAGCAGGGAGCCCAACGCGGGGCTCGATCCCAGGACCCCGGAATCATGATCTGAGCGGAAGGCAGACGCCCAACCGACTGAGCCACCCAGGCGTCCCCTTTCATTGAATTTTTAAAAATCTGTTTTTAATTGGACGTTGACTGTCTAGGACAAAGTCTTGTGAACTCTGATGGAGACATTTACTTTATCTTTGCCCTGCTTGCTCATTTTCATGTCTCACATTTCACTCGTTCTTTTCCCCTCCACTAGTAGAGATGACTAATATACTCCTACATAATGTGTTGGTAGAGACCAAGATTGATTACAAATATTTGTTTATAAAAACAAAATTTTCTACTTAACTCTAAGTTGACCGCCTAGGACGGTTACAGTAAAATGTGCTTTTAAAAAGTCTATTAGTTTTCTATCATCTACTGATATCCTTTTCTTCCTCTGAGTAATTGATCACTTAGCAAGTGCTTGGACTTACTGGCAATCGTTATTAACATTGGTAGATGTTCTCAATTTTTAACTGTTTTTACCCTTCAGATACACTTTAAGAGGGTTAGTTTACATCAGGGGTTGACAAACTATGGGGAGGGAACCAAATCCAACCTCCCACCTATTTTTTTATGGCTAGAGAGTTAAGAATGTGTTTTACATTTTTAAATGATTGAGGCAAGAAAAAAGACGACTATTTCGTGATACATTAAAATTATATGAAACTTGTATTTTGGTGTCCATAAAGCTTAGTTGGAACACAAGCATACCCATTTTGTTTAATATGTATATATATATATATATTTTTTTTAAGGGGTTTTTTTTGTTGTTTTGTTTTGTTTTTAGTACTCTCTACACCCAGTGTGGGGCTCGAACTCATGATCCTGAGATCAGGAGTCACATGCTCTTCCAACTGAGCCAGCCAGCTGCCCCTACCCATTCATTTTTATACTGTGCAGTGATACAGAATTATACAGTAGCAGAGTGGTTGTGACAGACTGTCTAGCCCATAAAGCTTAAAATAGTTATCTGATCCTTTACAGAAAAAAAATTGCTGACCCTGGTTTACACTATTCTCAAGGTCCATCATGAAAAGGGGTGTTCAGATTAGACAAATTGTTATTTTAAATCTACCAAGATTTTGAAAACTTGGCTCTTCTTGCAGGAAATGCACTTTAATGGGCAGATTCCCCAATCACACACTGAGAAAAGTCACAATGAGAAGCTGAGATGCCTGCACGATATTAAAAAGGGCTGTTTCCATTGTGGGCCAAATCACTTACCTGGAAACATTATCTCCTCTGGTAGGCCTGAGGCTTACCTAAGCCTGAGACTGTGCGTGATGGAAAAACCGCTTAGAGAAGTTGGGGGGATAGCCAGGGGCATTTGGATGGGGACTGGGAGGCAGGCCTTGCCACCTGTGGAGCTAGGCCAGAAACAACCAGGAGATCCCCTATTTGGGGACTCCAGGCAATTTGTCCTTTCCCCTTTACATGTGTTTTTGACTCCTCCTCCTCCTTTGGGGTCACCCTTGTACCCGAGGGGTTGAACACTCAACTTCTGGAACCAGGCTGCATGGGTTTGGATTTCAGCTCTTCTATTTACTAGCTTTATAACTTTGGATGGGTTCCATAGGTCTGCCCACCCTGATCTACAGCAATGGGAGAAATAACAGGATTTGGTGCTTTAAGCCACGACATTTTAGGGTGGTTTGTTGCACAGCGGTAACTAACCTAAATACTCTTTCAACAATGCTTTTGAAGTGGCATTTATCCAGTTTAACTTCCATTTTTATAAGAGCCTAAATCAGTCTCCCTGCTTCATTAAAATGTCACATCCTCCAGTGTTCCTCCATGTTGATGTCAGAGTATCTATTGTTTCTCCAGTGTTTAAAATCCTCCAAATTCTCACCTCATTTAGATTAAAGCAGAAATTCCTTCGTGTTCTACACCTATGTGCTCTCATTTCTTCCTCCTTCTCTATCCCCTACCCTGCCTTTGCAATCTATGCTCCAGTCATACGGAACCCCTGGCCATTGAACAATCATGATCTACGTATAGTTATATACAACTGTGCCTTTGTACCTTATTCCTTCTCCCTAAGACAATCTTTCCTCCCCTCCTCTAAATCTATGAAGACTCTCATCAAACACCTTAGGGATTACCTCCTCTAGGTTTTTCTCCAAAATCTCCATTCTTAGACTGAGTTTGATGCCCTTCCTTTATGTGTGTCTGTATCATACCACTTATATTAAGAATTGGAGTAACAATTTTTTCAATTCTCCTAAGGTATACAGCTAGTACCATTCTAGAGGTATCAGAAGAATTTATTATATACAATTTGTCTCAGGGCTTAGTTCTCTGGGGGGGGGCAGGGCGGGGCAGAAGGGCATTGCCCCCATTAGAAAACTACAAATCCTTTTGAGCACAAGGACTGCTATCTTTATTAGTAGCACAGGACCAGTTCATGTTCATCCATTAAATAAGAATAACATGTGAATAGCTACTGTCTTCAAAGGACCTCAAAAGAAAAATACAGAAATAATCCAAAAAAGTTTTTAATTTCTGAGAACAAATGCCCAAATTTCCCAAGATGCGGTCTCTGCCACATCGTAACCAATCTATGGGTTCCATGGTGTCTGGCACATAGTAAGCAGCCAATCATGTGTGGACTTGTCTATCCCTTCATTGTTTAAATGATCTCCATCTTGAGCTGTACCCAAATAGGCTTTGCAGTGTCACACTGTGACTTAAAAACAGGTTTGGAGTCCCAAAGCTGAGAACTACTAGTTTGAATGACCACATAGATAAAACTGTGAGAGAGTCTATCAAATATTTATAACTTCATTTCGCTTTGATGAAACATGATCTTTAACCCATTCATTATATGATCACTTTGAAAATGGAGGCAATGATATGAGACTAAGAAATAAAACCTCTTATCATAAAGTTTTAAGAAATGTATGAAATATAAATACAGGAAAACTTTATATAGGTATCCAACCAAACTTTTATTGGGGTTTTATTGCAATCTACTTTCGGCAATAAGGGGAAAGTAACCATAAGAACTCCGATCAGATTTTATTCAACAAAGCAGTTTTTCATGAATGCTTAAGGTCAGTGTATAGTCAGCTCAGCTTCCAGTATCAACTTGAGTACCTCATTATGGAAATTTATGCCAGAATGACAACAGTAAGGCATTGCAAGATCCTAAATCATCTAAGATTAAACCATATTTTACATATAATTTTTAGGACAGTATACTAATACTCTACAATAAATAAGGATTTTAAAAATGTGTTGCTTAGCCCTTGTTGAACTAAATTCAATTATTAGCTTATTCTTTAAGTACTCCAGTTAATAAAGGTTTGATTGTACTCCAAGAACTCTGACTTTTCCAAAGATAAAAAAATTAGTTCTTATTTGCTATGACAGAAATTAAGCTTAAAAGCACATTCACACTTGTCCTTAAAAGCATGTTTACATCATATATGAGATAACTTCTCATGCCTGGTGATACGGTATATGGCAAAAAGTCATAAGCAAAGAACGACTAGAGGGCAATCCTCCCAGCTCCACGTCCTCCAAAAAGCCACACTTGGCCTCAGTGTAAAAGTTATATTTTATTGCCATGCTACAAAATGTATGAAGTTGGCACTGATAGGGAGAAACAGAGAACAAAGGGTGGGAAGGGATAGAGGGCAAAAGATGTTGTTACATATACAACAAGGTTTTAATCAACAGTGGTAAATTTTGCCAATATTAAAAATGCAAACCAAAATTTAAAATGCTGATATGAAACAGCATTAATATACAATTTATGCATAGTACAGTATCACTTATGTCTTTTATTAGAGAAATGTGGAATGTTTATAAAAGAAATTAACCATAGGGGATAAAATTCCTACTTCATATACAATTTGGCAATGGTAGTCCCACTGTTAGACAATTTTTTATAAAAGAAAAAATTAAAAATCTTAACACGCTACCTTTATACAAAGTTGCTATATTTATGCCTTTATGTAGGAAAAAAACATTTATAATGCAAATTAGGACATACAATAATATTACAGTATTATACAATGTAATGAAAATAAAAACGTAACACGAAGTTTTTCCTTTATAAAATGTATATTTTGCATTTACTAATGCAAATGTGGCACACCGGTGACTACTGTACTATTAATACCAGTCCGTTTCCATGCTATTATTGTCCAATTGTCATAGAATTGCAATTGTATTGATGCTACAGAAGAATCGTGTTATACCCCCAAAAAAATGAGGAAGTAGGAATGGGGAATAGGGATGTAAAGAACAGGATAGATAGGGTGCTGGTTTGGGCAGAGTATATTGTGGTATGTCCTAAAATATCTGTTAGTTTTTCAAGCCAAAAACATTTTC